AGAGAGAGAGAGAGAGAGAGAGAGAGAGAGAGAGAGAGAGAGAGAGCGAGGGGGGGGGGGGGAGAGAAAGTGACAAATACAAGAATTTTTTAGGTTTTCATGGACAAAAAAGTAAAGGATGTAAAAAGGCAGTAAAAAGAACATGACCACAAAAAAAATCCCAGAAGAAATTAACAAAAAACTATCTTAATGATAGAGGCACCCATGTGTGTTTGTGTGTGTGTGTGTTTATGTGTGTTTGTCTATGTGTCCATAAGCATGATGTTATGTCAGCAGAAAAAGAAAGCAGGCCAGAGAGATAACATGAGAGTGAGAGATACGGTAAAAAAGAGAGACAAAGAAAATGAAAGAGAGAGAGAGAGAGAAAAAGAAATGGGCAGTGAAAGTAACAAAAGGATAGAGAAAACGTAGTAACATCGATATGCTGTAAACATTTAACTGGTTTCTTGAAAATCTTTCAGCACCTAAAAGAAGTCTCCTGATTTAAATAATGAAATTAAGAGATAAGACAAGATAGTTAGGATGAGATGAGATGAGATGAGATGAGACGGGATGAGACGAGACGGGATGAGATGAGACGGGATGAGACGAGACGGGATGAAATGAGATAAGATGAAATGAGACGGGATGAGATAAAATGAGATAAGATGAGATGAGACGGGATGAGATAAAATGATAGTGCCTAACTGCTACTCCACAGATGTCGGAGAAACGGAACATCAACAAGCTACAACTGCCTGTCTTACTTTAGACACAATATCTCTAACAGCGTAAAACTTTTCAGTGATGTCTCCTGCTTCGGTGATGGGTGCGTCATAGTCATAGCTGGTGGGCACAGGCTGGTATGGCGGACTGTTAGCACCTACCAAGGAAAGAAAACAATATTTTTAAAAAAACAGTTACAACTTTATCAACTAAACATGAAAGCATACCCTCTATCCCTGGACATCATAGAGAAGGTAAGCTAGAATTAACAAACCTCTCTGGGGGAATACCCACCATTGATCACCCATCTAAAGGCCATTTCAACGATATTGCTTGATAGTATTTGTGACCCTGAACTGACTAACCACATTGCCAATAGCTCCCCCAAATTAACGATGAAAGCGACATTTTCTCCCAATTCTCTTAGTCCAGACCTTTCATAAGACGCCCTTACCCACAACTGACCTAACGGAAAAAGCGTGGGCATGAAATCAGGTATTTCGACAAAAGCACATTGTTTCTAAATGGCACAATCCTACGTGTCAGAAAGTCTATAATGAAGCTTTGAACTTTCAAAATGCTCTCCGTTTAACACACTACCTCGTGAAATGCATTTTGGCCAGAATTGCTCAAATACATAATTGTTGTAAGAATAATATCGAAGATGTTTTGCTCTTGCTGTGTGACTGAAAGAAAAAAGTCAATTTGTATTTTATTCTTATCCCACATACTGCTTCCAACTCAAAAGGATGCATTAAATCCCTGAGTAGAGGAGAACAAGTCACTATCTTTTACCAGAGAACACAACACATCCCACTGAAGTCCTACCTAAATAGGATCCACAAGGATACCTCACCTGACTGCCTGTTGTGTGACTGCCAGGATGAAACAGTATCACACCACCTCTTTATCTGCTCTGCACTTAGTGACCTGCATAGCACCTACCTACCTACCTCCCCAGATATCAGAAATACTTTATACAGTGACAAAACACAGCTGATAAAGACCTGCAAATTCTTTGCCATTTCGACAAGCAAAAGGGATAGAACCCAGAAGGCTGCTGGGTCGGAAAAGTAAAGTAAAAGTAAAGTTATTCTTATACCATTTGCCCTGTTCCACTGTCGGTCCTCAATAAAATCTCTTCGCCTGGACAAGGTTAGGAATCCATTATAACTTGTCAAATAAGAATTAAACCTTCTCGAATTTTTTTCCAGAAACCAGTTACACAGTCACAGCACAAACACAAACAAAAAGGTTTTAGTTAGTTTTAGCAAGGATTTACGGGGTGGATGTCAACAGAGAAGTCCAAACGGGGAATCAGGCTTACTCGGCTCACCTCTCTAGCCTCAATAGCACAAAGTTTCAGACAAAGTATGCTTCGACTATCAAGGCCAAGGCACCCCGGAAATAGCAGTTCACAAGAGAATGACAAACATACAAAAGAAGTAGGGGAAAAATGACGATAGTAAGGACTAGGAAAGAAAAGCAGCAGTTCCCCTTATGTTGTTCCGGCACAGCATGAGCATGACATTGATAAATCAACCCATTTACAAATCTACTGTGCATAAGAACAAGTTAATATCCCCTCTTAGGGAATAGTCGAAAGACTACTTCAGTCAGTAGCACTGCTCTGGTGGGGGGAGAAAAGGACTTAAAAGATAACAATTCATGGCTTAGTAACCCTATGAGATCTTTGTGCACTCACCATTGTAGAAACCAAAGTTTGTTCCCCCAATGTACATGTACCTAAGGAGAAAAAAAAAGATACAATAACCAATAATTCAAGCTTAACAAATCAAACTTTTAATTCACGAAAGAATGCCATTTTGAGGAATTTGAATAGATGAAATAATAAGTAGATAGCTGCTTTAATATTGGTTCATTTAAATAGAGAGATGTATATAAATTGTGAGGCAGCGTGGTGGAATCAGGCTCTCGTAAATTTTTGAGCATATTGAGTTATTGGTATCATCTTAAATCTTGTTCATTTATCTTGCTTTCAATGAAAAAATTACCCATCCATCTTCAATAGAAGGGGAAATATTTTGGATTGAAGGAGGTGGGGGTCACCTGGTTTAAGAGGTAAAATTAGCGAGAAAATGGCAGCCAGAGCTTGGTAAACTCCATGGAAACTGTAAATTTATATTTTTGTGCCTTTAATCAACGTTTTCGGTGAAATCCTCAAAGGAATGTGTTTGTAAATGGACATAAACAGTGTTGAGCCAAAAAAACAAAAATTTGATAAAAATTGCTAAGCAGGGAGAATTTCTTTGATTTCATTACTTTGATTCCACCACGCTGCCTCACAATTAGACAACGCAAAATTACGCCCCCCCCCCATCTATCTATCAATAATCAATCTTTTTAACTCACCCACATATAAACATGCACATACACATCCACAATTCACTCACTGATTTAAATAGTTTACATTCTCATTTCTCCTAACCTACTCTTTGCTTGCTGAATATTCGCTCATTTGTTAGGTCATTTCTTTCATTATGACGAGCATCTCTTTATTCATGAAGGTCTGAATTCTGTCGGCCTGCATGCCTGACCATCTGTTCCTGACACGCTTTATTTCTCTTTCTCCACACACAAAAAATCTTTAAATGTGTTTTTCAATCCAATAATAATTTTTTTTAAAAGCAAACAACTACTAGCCCTCTCATGCAAGTAACTACAAAGAAAACTCACATATTTATATTTGCCTGGTAAGCCAGCAGCAGGTCTAGACTCTTGGCCACTCTGGTTCTATCTGTCGTTGAGTGTGGGTAGCCCCAGTGGTCAAGCCAGCCTGTGTAGAACTCAGAGTTCACCTAAAGACAAAGGGAAAAAAAATAACATATACACAATTAATTCAAAATACAGCTTTATAAGCTGGAATAAAGTGATATAGCCTGAAGGGTAAAATAAAAGCACGTCACCAAAAAAGACATATATAATAGAAACCAGTTAAAAAGACAAAATGTAGAAGAAAAAAAAGCAAAAGGACCCACTTGGAAATGCCATTCAAAATAATGATTTATATTGAAAAAGTTATTACACAGAAATACTCCAAGAAGAAACACAAAATTACATCTTAGGATTTCATCATCCATGTTTCAAAAACGAGGAACTATGAACGTAAAATAAATGTTGTCTTGGTCTTGAACCAGCACACTATTTTCTTCCTAATTCTGTTGCTGACAAAAGTAAAGTTACAGCTCAAGACATCCCTTCATCAAGATTAACTCAGTACATGGACGGGGAAAAACTTGAGGATTAAGGAACGATAACTTTCAGTATGACAAGAAATCAACGGAGCGTATTCAGGACAAGTGTGAAGACTATTATATTAAAGGAATATGGAAGGTGGAAAAGACAGACAGTTGTTTCACTTAGGAAGACATATATAACTAGAATTACATACAAAACCCTATTAAAATTGCCAGTTTGAAAAACTTCTTGGAAAGAATTCATCAACATTCAGTCAAAAAATTAAGGCCTTAGCTAAAAATTAACATTTCCAATCATATATCAACAAAAGTCAAGCCTACTGACTGACTTTGGTATAAAAACTAGAAGTCATTGATAACAAAACCAACAGAATAAATAGGCTAAGAGGTGAGACATGGAATACAATCTTGACTAATTAACCCATGTGGTGTCCGGACCAGCACCAGTGATAGAGTGCCAAAGTGTCAGAAGATTAAACAGTTAAAAAGATGAGATGAACTAGCCAGGTAAAAACAAAGGTTCGGATGCCGTGGTAAGTGAGTTTGATCATGCCATACCAAAAACCCACCCACATAAAAAGACAGCAACCCTGTGTTTTTAGTTTTTAGTTTTAGTAAGATTTTTAGGGCACTTGCAACACAATAAGGTCATATAAGTGCTGAAGAATAGATTATGCGTTACATACAAGACAGTAACATACACAAAAAAGAAGGAGGTGAGATTTATAAGGACGTCAGATGTTTGATAGGAAAGAAGGAGCAAACCACACCAGAGCACCAGCCAACCACCTACCAAGCTTGTTTGTGTATCATCAGCAGCAATATGAGAAGACACGTATACATGTTCAGGTTTTATTTGGTCGGATTAGGATTGATATAACCAGGAATTGTCTAAGTTAGTTGACAACTTACTAAGGGTCCATGTGGCTCGTAGTCTCTCTGTGCTTTGAAGGATGCTGCAGGGTCCACTGTAAGTCAAGATAAAGCTTAATCTTAACTGAACGCCAAAGACTGACACTCCCCTTTACATAATTCATTACACTCTAAACATTACATACATGAAGAAAGACGCAAAAAGTGATGCCACTCCCAAAAAGAACTAAAGTTTAGTTTTAGTTATAGTAAGTGTTTTACGACACTTGCAGCACAATAAGGTCATGTAAGTGCTGAAGATTAGAGGTGTTACAAGAGAGTAACAAACTCAAAAAAGAAGGAGGGGAAATAAAGACTGTAGATGTTTGATAGGAAAGAAGAAGCAAACCACACCACAGCACACGCCAACCACATGCGAACAAAAGTTTTCCGCCGAGACTAAACTATTTTCAAAAAGTGAAACATCCTCTCTTTCAGTTGTGTTCTATGAACACTTGTCCCATATCTTTTTCTTCTCAAGTGATTTGTCCATTTCTATACCTCTATGTAGCATCTATGGATGTAGCATTCCTGTAAAGCTGTTCATCAGTTCCTATGTATCAAACGCAAGGGTACAAAGAAGAGAATTTTCTACAGACTGTGAACAGCCACTGCCATCAAAAAGTGGTAGCAAGAATAACTGTCTCTTTCTGTCCTATTGCTTAAACAGTAGGTTAATTATACTTATTCAAATAAAAGAAACTTTCCATTGAACATCTCACTTTGAAAATGTAAGCTCTTCACATAACTAAAATATTCATTTATAAGGAAACAACTTTTCTTTAAAAAACAAGCCATTTTACTTAAGTCCTCACTCCAAGTTTTCTTCTTCTTCTTCCTTGCTCTCGAGATCACTCCAAGTAATAACTATACATCAGAAATACTTCTACATTATATACATTGCAAATTGAAACTTAAAGTCTTCACCATCCACTCCAAGTCATTATAAACAAAGCAAAACTAAAACTTAAAGTCTTTACCATCCACTCCAAGTCATTATAAACAACGCAAATTGAAACTTAAAGTCTTCACCATCTCCATGTGATAAGGGTAAGAAATGTTGAGACATTGTGTAGTCAATGAACTCACACGTGGTTCCGAAGTCAACCGTGGCATAAACACCGGGCACGGCTCCACACTTCAGGTAGCCGTCTCCAGCACCGTCAGTTGTATAGATGACGACGTCATTACCGAGAATCTCCCTGACCTTGTCCCGGAGAGAGGCTGTATAGGCTCGGTCACAAGCAAAGTAACTGCCGTACTCATTCTCTATCTGGTAAACAAAGTTTGAAAGTGTCATGTAAGATAAAACGAAGCATTTAACAGGACTTGAACCAAACATGTGTTAAGACGGACATACCCATTTGTTAAAGATAAAGGAAAGAAAGCTTTAGTAAAACTATAAGCAAAGGATAGCCAATTAATTTCTAAAACCAGTCCTCCCACTGAAGTGCTTTTTACCTTCAGAAACAAAGCTTCATGCTCTAGATTGAAGTAAATGAATCTATATTCCACAAAGCAGCAAAGTTGCATCATCAAGCCAAGAACATCTTAAGCATACTTACCATCCCCTTTTGCAAATTTGAACTTAACAGAAAAAAATTGTCTGTTTTATTTCTTTTTTGGCAATTGTTTTCTCAAGTCGTGCTCACAATAGATGATTAAAATTGACCCCCAAAACTCAAGCAATATTTCCAAGTTTTATTGGATCATATAAAAAAGAAAACCAACTCAACATCAAATCTGCAAATGTGAACAAGCCAGCGGAGAGCTACACAATACAACAAAGAATAAAAATGTCATATTGGAACTTTGAGGAATTTGAGGAATTTCCGACATTTCTATGAAAGGAATCTAAAGAAACTCACCTGTACCATGACCACTGGTCCTCCATTTATGTACAAGCTCGGCTTTATCTTCTCCAACAATTGTTCGTACCATCGAGACACAAACCTCATATAGGCTGAAATAATTAGGAATACTCTTTCTGCAATGTTAGACAGACACCATTACAAAAATCAACGTGGGACAAAAATAAAATACACAACCGAAAACAAGAGCATTGTATTTGGCCTAACAAAGCTACAAGTTCCAATTAGACAAAATAATTGCCTGCCCTGGTTCAGATGTGGTGAGTGTGCATTCCATAGTCAAAAATACGAGTAGGGTAAAATATATGTTCTATCTGAAGTTTTGTGCAATGCGTATATATATTGATATATTATAAATCAGTAGTTACGTCTTCTATAAAGCCCTTATCAAATATTGACAACAAGATTTTTATTTCAACAAAAAGAAATGAATACTGAACTCTTTTCATACTTTACCATACATAGATATCTATGAAGCAGCAGAAATGTGGTTTTATAAAAGAATGAAAATGTTTTGTAATGCCTACTGCAGTAAACTAGCAGACTGTCAGGGAAAACAGAAACATGGTGGTAGACTGTTCAATGGACTGGCACCCAGAATTCCACATTTACCTGAATGGTATTTCTTTATTCAGTCACCATCAGTCCCTATCAAATACCTTGTTCAGCTATGAGTAAGAACCTTATTCAAAATTCAAACGCTGAGTCGTTGTAAGATGAAATGAATTCAACAGGAAAAATATATACAAATGCAAAGGAAAAAGAAACTTGCAGGGAGCCAAATTAAAAGAATGTATTTTTCAAATTTTGCTTGTCCCAGATCGACTATTTTGACTGTTGGCCTGTGCTCTGTCCAGGCCTGTATGTTACAGAGGGCATGAGTTAAGCTGTGAAGTCAACAGAAAACGACAAATAATAATAATAATAATAACAACAGTATCAATGTAAACTGTTTCTGTAGCTCCCACTCTCAGACAATGCAGCTCTAGGGCAATAACAAATTGCTTTTAACGGTACTTTTGTTTGGGACAGGGATGGAGTGCAGACAACACTTTTATGATTTACAAACTTACAGTTATCACTTGTGCGGAAAAACATATCAGGATTCTCGTTGAGCAGCCACGCTGGGAGGCCACCCTGTGGAAAATAAAATAATAAACAGGTACCGGCACGGGAATGCAGTTCAAAAGGACTTTGATTACAATGGTATCAAGGAGATAGAAAAATCCCCACCAACTTAAGCCCGATCATCATTTTGTCAGTTTTTCTAATTCTTTTGACTGACAAAGGTCAAAGCATGAAAAAAGAAATCTACATATATTTATATCCAAAAACCATTATTGAAGTGTTCATTTCAAACAATGGCCACAGTACACTTGGACGTTTAATTCAGTTCCTAATTCAAACTTCTTACGAACAGAATTTTGAGTGAATGCTTTTACATTTTTCATAAAGTTCACTATGTCAGTTCGCTCTATGTAACATACCGTAACAAGCTAAGACTCATCTTCTTTTACGACACAAGGTTAAAATCACTTTGCCATTTAGGCCTACATTGTCCTTCAAGCACTCACAAATTCCCACTCTCCACAGATATAAGGTCCAAGACGTAGTAAAACAACCAAATCATTTTTCTGTGCCAGTGAGAGGAAGCGACCCAAATCCGATGCACCATCCCAGGTGAAAACCCCTGGAGTCTTCTCATGTACATTCCAGGGAACATATCTGGAAATCATAGGTACATCATAATTACTGTGAGAAAAAAATAACACATATTTCATTCTACAGCAGTTCCATTTATGACTAAAATATGAGTTTTAGATTTTAGTTTTAGTAAAGGTTTTATGGCACTCGCAACTGCATTAGGTCATATGAGGGCCAGAAGATTAGTGGTGTTACAAGAGAGTAACAAATATAAAAAAGAAGGAGGGGAGATAAGGATGATAGATGTTTGAAAGGAAAGAAGAAGAAAACCAGACCAGAGCTTGGCAAGATATTATGAGTATCATCAAGTCAACACAGAAAGATACTATAACAACACAACTTCCACATAATGTAAAGACCCAACTTGCCTAAGGATTTCGGACACAAATGTGAATCATGAACATGAACACTGTCTACTTACACCTGTGCAGCATTCAGTCCAGCAGCTCTCATCTTAACGAATCTGTCTTCCCAGTAGTAAGGATGCACACGAGAGTAATGAAAACTCCCAGCAACATATCTAAATGGTTTTCCATCCTTGAGAAAAGTGTCATTTTGGTAGCCGACCTCAAATGTCCTTTCACAAGAAACCTGTACAAGGAAAATCAGTAAATTGGGATGATATAATTCCACTTTCACATCTATAAAAACTTACCTACATTGTATAATGCTATTATAGACAAAAACCATTGACAACTTTACGCCTGCTCTTTACCAGTACATGCACGTTGATTTGTACACAGACATTTTGTTATATCAATGCCAGTACAAGCTCAGAGAGAACAAAAACATGTTGCAAAGGCAGTTCTTCCAAAGGAGGCAGCCATTCAAAATTGGGATGATGAATGTAGGTTTGTGGATTGGTTGTTTGAAAGGGCTACCATAAAGTTGATTTGTGAAGCATTTTAGCATTCCCACACAAAAATTCCTCTCTGTACTTTTATAACAAAAATACAACAATATCTAGGCCTAACCATGTGCTGTTGTGTGTTTGTTTTAGTATAGGTCTTAAGGCGCTCGCAACTGCATAAGGTCATATGAGTGCCAACTAACCATGTGCTTCGCCTAGATAAACACCAAATGTGTTATAAGGCAAGCTCCATAAACCGACTTGATTGCGAAGCATTTGTAGTAAAACCGTGATAACACAACTTCATGGGACCAGAAAATTTCTTTGTGCTAAGCAAATTTATTCGAGTTCAGCAGAGTGGTAATGATAAGAATACAAAAAAAGATGGATGGCTTGACTGCACAGAATGAGGTTCAAGGAAGGTTGTACCTATTTAATGACGGTTTTCCATACCACTACTCACAGTTTAGAAGAAAAAACAATTTTTTAACAGAATATTAAATCTATCCCTATCTTTCCACTTTCACACTTTCAAGGAAAATCAATTGCACTTGTAACAGCTGTAGCAGGGCATCAAAACAAGAGCACTATACTGCTGTATATTTATCTGAAACTAATTAATCATATTGACTCACACTGACCCTCTCAAGGCTATGTCTCCCCCCCCCCCCAACTTGGACCTTCCCCTTAAATTTTGTCTTCAACTTGTAATCATATCATACACCTTCACACACTGGCCTACTCAACAGAAGAGACTTTTTGATTGAGAGAGATCTTATATTTTGGAGATTTTGGAATCATAGCTTCAATAGTTTCCTGTGCTATATTCCTAGACATATATATATTGCAGACTACACACATAAATCATGGGCCCCTGGCAGTAATGAAAGGGTGAGAACTAAAGACTCAGACTCGATCGATACAACTGCAAACAACCAAAATAGTAGGTAAATTTTTACTTTCACTCCCGCACACAGATGCACTGTTTCAGGGGTCAAACTGCTGTACTATTTGCTGCAGATCACACATAAAGCCACTAAAACAGTCGCAAATCAATTATTTTCAAGACAATTTCAAATCTAACTGTAAAATATCAAATTATGGGTAAAAACAGGGGGGCATCTTCCCCACCCGTCTGCTACCAAATCTAATGCCACAACTGTTTCTTTTAGCCTATGGAAGATATATATTTTGAAAGCGTGAATTATTCATCCTACATTAATACAAGTAAACACTAAATGAACTCTTAAGTTACTTCTTACCTTAGCACCCAACAAAAAGACACAAACAATGATGAACAAGCTTGAATTCATGATAGAAGCAAAAGTGGAAACCGCCATTTTCTGATCATGTGACAAGATAGTTTACCATATGTCACGTGATTTCAACAGTTCATCTAAAAATAAACTATCCAACAACCGAAGATAGGCTATTGTAGGGAGAAGAAAACCTTTGCAACCACTCGGCATACTGATCGAGGTTGTCATTACTGTATTTTATATAGATCTAGTGAGGGAGATACTTGATGGGCGATAATAATCTGTTTATTTACCTGATTTATAGATTATCACTATTTGATAAAATAAGCTCATGATCAATTCAGGGGGCTCTGGTCTAGAGTCAAAAGGTAGGGTCTATAATGGTAGGTAAGGTATTCGTCTTTCTTTCAGTTGGTTCCGGGTTCGAAACCTAATAGAGGCGGGAAACTTTCTTCTCTATATCATTACCTAAAAAAATTTCCTTTCACACCCTTTCTGCTCTCTAATCATGTTCTGCTTTCATCTCCACCCCCTTCCACCTCGCCCACTTTTTTTCTTTAGGCTCT